GTTTTCAGGCGGGCAAGGGCGCCCGCCAATGCCCGCGGGCAGAGCTGAGGGCAATGTCGAACACGAACAGACGATTTTTAGGAAATTTCATTCCCATACCGTTCACGAACTCTGGTGAGGATGCACCTTTAGAACACTGCACCAATTTGTAACAACTTCCCTACATAACCTCCAAAAACACTGCAAGAATGTAGTCACGAAAATGTGGTTTGAATAATGGAAAAATTCTAAAATTCTGCCGTCCTGCTCGTCATCTTCTCAGCAACGCATAACGCTTATATCTTGCTCGAGAAGGCGTGGCTTGTTGCCCGCCAATTTGTTTGCGCCCGGAGAAGCCTAATACTCTGCCCGTACGGGCAACGACTGAACGGCACTGATGTAAGATAAGCCAAACTGTGTATATAAGCCAAAATGCGTGAACAAGTATATTACAGTTCTATCGAAATGTAGAGGAGATAAGAATGCTTAAGTGTATACGAAAAAGAAAAGAATAAGAAAAATAGAATCAGTGGAGTTTGTAAGACTCCATCTCGATACTTGATGGAAAGAAAATCTGTGTATTTCAAGATTTTTCGTTATTTCAGGATTCTCAATCGCGGGCATCAGAGAACTCTGATGCATCGGTGGTATACAGTTCTTACGAAGCGAAATCTCGTCCAGCACCGCCGAAGAAACCGCTCCGATTGTCCCTACATCGCGCGGCTAGTCTTCAGTCTGTAGAAAGTGCGCCACCTACTGCTCTTCACGACGTAATCAAAAAATCAACCAAGAGGAATTATAAAGGGGATCCACCAACGGAGAAATATTCACGAACCGAGGCAAACGGAGAAACAAATAATCAAACGCAAGAATTACAGTGTAATCCACCTCAGCCTCCGCCAAGAACTCCTTCTAGAGCAGAATCTTGTCAGAGTGCGTTACGATGGCCTTCTCCTAAACCGAAACCGCATTTAGCACCCGTTACGATGGAAAAATGGTGTTAATGTCAGAACACTGTGGATTATACATATTTATGTATTTTTGTCAACAATGTTTCAGTAGTATTAATCACGAACCGTTCAAGATCTCTGTTATAACAATTTTTACATAATTTGCATGTAAATACAATATATTTTAAAAGTTCTTATGTATACTTAAAAAAGACTGAATTATTTTCAACTTGTTTGTGTGCTTTTTTTTATCTTTATTTTCATATTTTAAGGTTATGCATAGAAATTTTATAGAGTTTCGTTTGAACTAATTCCATGTAATATTTCTACACACACATTCATTTTAAATGAAACATTGTAGAATGTAGATGTGCAAATTATTTCAATTAAATCACAAAGATCATTTCACTCTAAATGTCATGTATACATTTCATACAGTGTATGGAACACGTGCCTTCACATATTCATTACTTTAATATATTTAATATTTTTGTAATTGTAAGAATGTATTGTGACTCAGTCTACTGCCACGTTCAAAGCGGAAGGAACGTGAGTATCATCGAGAGCATAGTCAGAAATGATGTATTATCAGGTTAGTTGATTTTTAAAATAGAAATGTCCTTTCCATATCTAACTCATTTTTCTAGTGTTATCCGTTTACCGCTATTGTTTTCCTAGTCTCTCTTCGCTATTACTATCATCGTCATCCGTATTATATTTAATAAATATTTATAATTATTTTTTAGTTGCCTAAACATTAGTAATAATGAGAATAGAAAAATACAGTTTCTGGCTTATTTTCAAGTACTTTAATTATAGAATAATTTCTGTTTCTTGTTAAATAACATTTTAGATACTAGTTTATAATTATTGGAAGTATTAAATGAATTTATTGCATGATATAACTTAATAAAACAGCTTCATTTATTAATTTCGCACTTAATTAACAATTGCATTCAGTAGATTAGTTAGAAATTCTTTATGACTTTTATTGAAAATTGAAATATGTATTAATGTTTTTTTTGTGTGAATTATGGAACTCTCAGGCCACTACAGCATTTTACAGTTACGAAAGCTTGTTCACCCCCAACTTCTACAAAATTCAAGTCCAAACGAGCATCCACAAATGCTGAATGTGTGAAGAATTTTTTAAAGTAGGGGGTGCATTCGTTAATTTGATTTAAACGCATCTTTATGTGTCAACGCTGGTAAGAGAACAAGGCGATTAAATAATCTTTAGTTTCCTATTCTTTTATCAACGTGCTACATTATCGACAGCTGATTGAAAATCATTTGTCCAAACCATTTACCTACGCCACAACTTTACCTCAAGTGGCGGCAGTGGAAAACCGAAGAGTAGTGAGTCTAGCCTGACTGTCTTTTTTCCGTTTATTGGATCAGGCGATGATGTTAGAAGCCTGAAGTTTGCTTTGCTGGACAAAAAAAACTTTCTAAAAAAATTTCTAAATGAAATGAAAAAACATGCTATCAAAGATTGACGGCTACCGTTTCCATGCCTTGAAAATCGGTACGTAGCTCCTCTGTTATCGACTGCTTACGCGAGGGTCGATCGTCGCCTATTGTTATTCATAGAAAAGTAAACGCGATAACCTTGCTCTATCGCTATTGGCTGATTAACAGCGAAAACATCAGAAGTTCTCCTCCATCTTCCACTTCCTGACTCTAACTCCTTCCTAAACCTTCAATTTTGGTTGGTCGACCTATAAATGGTGATCAATATAGAGTAATGCTTTTCACATTGTCACTACTAGAGCTTTTTCGGAGTCAGTCATTAACTGAAAATTTGTTTAACATATTAGTGAGATTTTTCTGATTAATATGAAATCAAACATGATATAATTTGGACCACATTTACTTATGTAATACTAATTGAAAGATTGAATAATTTTGCGCCCATCCTACTTTCGGCTCCGGACATTTCTGACACAGGGAATTAAAAAGTCATTTTGCTGAAAAATACATAATAGAAAAGTTGTGAAAAATAAAAAGAAACATTGAAAAAATTTTTAAAATTTTTCAAAAATTTTGCTGAGCTGAAATATGTAATTTTTATCAAAATATGTCTTCGCTGCAAGTTTCTGATAAATTACAAAAACGTGATGCCGGAAAACATTGTACGTAAAACCTGTGCCATCACATTGTCCAGAAAACCTAGTCCCCCCATTTACATTGTCGCTGTCACATGGGCCGTGCCTTCAAATTGCCCGTCGAATGTAGGCTGTGCCTCCAAATTGTCCAGGCACAGCTTATGCATTCGACGGAAAATGTGTACAGATATTTTATCGTTTCATCCTTCTCTTTTATTCGTTGTCCTTGTGTTCGTTCGGCAAACTACAAAGGCCGGCTTCGACCTTCGAAAACCATGTCTCCTCTACCTAAACTGTTGCCGTTCGGTTCTGACCAAAGCGACAATGTAAGAAACATTACTATTATAGAAGATCTAAAAGTTTGTGCCGTTTGGAATAATTACTAAACAATAATTAAAACGAAAAAACATATAAGAACGTTTTTTTTATTGCTTTTCATCTAGAATATAAGTAAAAATTTTTCGTTCAATTTATCAAGGTCATTTCAACGTTGCTTTGTTTTTTTTTTAAATAGAAACAGCACAAAATGACGAATTCAAAACACTACTTTACATAATATATGTATGTACAATATAATAAAAAATTTTCAAGCATTCGAAACGATCATTACATCATGACAACTTCTGGAAATTAAAAATAATATAATACAAATGTATAAATAGTTTATTTTTCTTAATTACAACTTTTTCATGTATAAATTTAATTTTTAACTCTGCACAGCCTTCTGACAAAGTCGAGCAAGGAGACTGTTCATTTGTAACAAACTGTTAATTCCATCTACAATTCCTAAATGAGTTATTCCAATTTCCTAAAAATTACGAACTTTTAATTTCTGTTTTTATGTTTACATTAATATTCTATCTGTAATTAGAAAATAAATAACTTTGATGTATATTTTAACTTACCTTTATAAAATCTAATTTTAATGTTTCATCAACAGGAAGACTTTTACAAACTCTAAATATGTTACTAATTAAATCTTCTGCAGAGTATCCCATTTTCCATAAATGTTCCATTACCTATAAATATTTAACACAGTATATCATATACAATTGTTATATGACATAGAAATTGATGAACTTATAAAATATCTTACCCCATATGCTTTGGAAATGTTAGCCTGTGTACAAAATTGAAGCATTTCCTTAACAAGTAATGGATGAGGTTCATCACAAACTTTAAAAACATTCTCGCTATTTACATGATTAAAACCGTTATATGTCGCTTGCAAATTATTTAGCGCCTGTCTCATGTCACCTTGTGCAGTAAATACTATTGCTTCTAAACCATCATCTGCATAGGACACCTGTTCAGTTATAATGTAAATAGAAAATTCAAAATGTCGGTATTATTGTTAAATACTTTCATTCATGCAGAAATAAAATGTCATACATTTTCTTTATTACAAACTTCAATAACTTTTGCTAAAATTTGTGCATCTGATAATTTTCCATATCTTAACATAGCACAACGTGACTGTATTGGTTCAATAATCTTTTCACTATTATTGCAAGCTAATGCAAATCTTGTTGTGTTACTATATATTTCCATTGTTCTACGTAATGCCTGCTGTGCACCATCTGTCATACTATCAGCTTCATCTAAAATTATAATCTTATGTTTCCCTTTTGGCAAATTTACCTAGTTTTAAATGAACAAAAACAGTTTATTATGAAAATATAAAAAATATAAGAGCACAGAACAAGGTATAAGAGAGAGTTTTACCTTTTTTTGTGCAAACATTTTAATTTTATTTCTCACAACATCAATTCCTCTTTCACTTGAGGCATTCAATTCCAAAACTGATTCCTTAAAAGCTGATCCTAAAAGAATATGTGCTAAGCATAGTATAGTTGTAGTTTTACCAACTCCTGGTGGGCCAGCAATAATAATATTTGGACAATTCCCATGTTGAGCAAAAACAGAGAGTCTAGATACTGTATCTTCATTACCAACAATCTCAGAAAAAGTTTGAGGTCGATACTTTTCAATCCTAAGCAAACAAATATTGTCAGTTAATGTAATTTTATTTATATTTGAACATTCTTTTTACTTATGAATGTATATACTCTACTAGGATAAAAAGTTAACCTCAATAATTTTAACCTTCAGAATACAAAAGTAGTATTTTTGTTTACAGTAACGTACCATGGTAAATGTATCGATTTATCATCTTTTTCGGTACTTTTTATGTTATAACCACTCGTTGATGGCATAACTTCAATGTCCATAGATTCTTCCATGGTATTTTCACCTCCCATCTTCAAAACTTGTCAAAAACGCGGGAAAAATTTTCAACTAGTTTACTTAATCATAGATTAAATAAGAATAAAGAGGTGCAAATTTCAGTAATTTCTGTGATAACAGGAAAGTTACATTACCGATTAATATAGCTTATCGGTAACATACAAACAATACCGACGTATCAACAACCTTAAAAATTACGGCTTTGAAGAATTTCTTTTTATAATCAAAGAACTGTATTATAGCACAATGAATGAAATGAATGATATTAGAAATGGAGAAAGTATATTAACTTTCTAATAACTAGAACTTATTAGATTGTATTACACATGTAATGATTGGAAATTAAATATTACATTATTTATATATTTACCAACATTAATT